TATTTATTTATTTATTGTAGAGATGAGGTCTCACCAAGTTGCTCAGGCTGGTCTTGAACCTGCGGGCTCAGGCAGTCCACTTGCCTCGGCCTCCCAAAATGCTGAGATTACAGGCTGAGTCAACAAACCCAGCACTCTTTCTTATTATTAGGTTGTTTCCCTTTTTACCCCATTTTAGAGAATGCTAATAGGAACATTATCAAGTCCCTATTCAGCCTCCTTATTAAAGTACCTGACAGTGTTAAACTTTTTTCTTATCTGTTAAAAAGGAATAATAAGCCGGGCTCGGTGGCTCAGCCTGTAATCCCATGCCTTTGGGAGGCTGAGGTGAGTGGATTGCCTGAGACCGCGGGTTCAAGACCAGCCTGGGCAGGCGAGACCTCATCTCTACGATAAATCAAAAAAAAATCAGCCGGGCGTGGTAGTGCATGCCTATAGTTTCAGCTACTTGGAAGGCTGAGGTGGAAGGATCTCCAGAGCCCAGCAGGTTGAGGCTGCGGTGGCCGGGAGCGGCCACTGCACTCCAGTGTGGGCAACAGAGTGAGACTCCAACTCAAAAAAAAAAAAAAAAAAGGAATAATAATCTTCAACTAATGATTTTATAATGCAATATATGTAAAGGGCTTAACTCAGTGCCTAGCACATGGTGAAAACTTAGTAAAGATATTTTCAGCGTCATTATCATCACCATTAGCACTCAGTCTTCAGTTCTCCATTGTGGACATCACTCACTTTGAGAATACTTTTTTTCCAGGACTAGTTTTGGTGTGGCTGTAGGTGCCCACAGCACCATAGCACTACCAAAATGACCATTTTTTTGGTTTGTTTTTTGAGTCAGGGTCTCTCTCTGTTGCCCAGGCTGGAGTGCAGGGACATGATCATGGCTCACTGCAACCTTGACCGCTTGGGCTCAGGCAGTCTTCCTGCCTCAGCCTTGTGAGTACTTGGGACAACAGGTGTACACCACCATACCGGGTTAATTTTTTGATTTTGGGGGGTGCGGGGGGAGAAATGAGGTCTTGCTATATTGCCTAGGCTGCCAAAATAGGCTTTTTTAAAGAACATTTATTTGATCATAATTGTATATTTTCTTTGTCTAAGTCTGTTCAGGCTGTTGTAACAAAATATCATAGACTGGGTAGGCTATAAACAACAGAGGTTTATATCTCACGGTTCTGGAGTCAGGGAAGTCCAAGATCAAGGCTCCAGCAGATTTAATATCTGATAAGGGTCTGCTTTCTGGCTCATAGATGGCACCTTCTAGCTGTGTGTTTACTTGGTGGAAGGAGCAAAGCAGCTCTCTGGGTTCTTTTATAAGGGTATTCTGTTTACAAGAGCTTCAACTTCATAACCTCAACAACTTTCAAAGACCCTACCTGCTAGTACTATCACACTGGGCATTAGGCTTTTCACCATATGGATTTTGGGGGAACACAAACTTAGGCCATAGCCTGTTTCCCTTGATGGATGGCACACTCTTGAAGGCCTTCATTATCACTGTATTCCCAGAATTTTCATCGTGATGGTGCACAATAATATATACTTGTTCAACGTTAATTGAATGTGTGAAAGCTTCACTTAATTTATACTTTGCATGGCATGTAGATTTATAATAATGAAGTTATGGAATGGTCAAAGACTGTTTTCTGTTACAGTCCACTGATGTCTGTGAACAGATTTTGAGGGTGGTGAGTAGGTCCAATCGACTGGAAGAATTGGTGTTGGAAAATGCTGGACTTAGAACGTGAGTATTTTCCTAAATACATGGATATGTTGCTTTAAAACTTTATGCTCCTTGGTTTCCTAAAGCATAGTTTTGTTTTTTTTTTTAAAGTTGGGCTACTCACATATAGAGTATAGTATTTTTCCTTATAAAAAATATTCCTATGATTCCCATCAATATTATGAAGACCAAGAATTTGGTAACATCTCCTGCTATTGTGTCACGTGATATTTTTGAGGGTACATAGTATAGTCGTTAAAAGTATGGACCCTTGAGACAGATGCTTCATGGCCTTGAGCAAATTGTTTATGTTTCTTTGTCCCAGTCTCTGAAATGGGAATAATAAGAATGTCTATTTTATAGAAGTAAAGCTGTGAGGATAAATGAATTAATATATGTAAAGTACTTGGAAAAGTGCCTTTTACTCTGTAGATGATGTGTGTAGCTTTTATTATTATCATTACTGATAGTCATAGTAATTATATATTTAATATGTTTTACTGCTTTGTTTTGATCAGTTTTAGTCATTTTTCTACCTTTTCATGGTAACACTTAAGATAGTCTTTATCTAGTGGTTTGGTAGTCACAACCCAAGCCTTACTGTTAAGAGAATCTGGTTAGAATAAAGATTTTACTGCTGCTAAGTGAGAAAGGTTGGCAGTTTCATCATCATAGGACTTAGTATGCTATTTTGAGCCAAACATAACTAAAATAGTAATTTTGATTTTTGTTAAAATATGCTAGCGGTTATAACCTTTAAGCACAATAATTAATCAGTTTTATACTTATGATTGTATGAAATGAGAAATAAGATGTAATAAATAGCCTACTGTAATTTTCATGGAAAACAAGGTTCAATCCAAGATTTTTTTTTTTTTTTTTTTAATTATGGAGGGACCAAGAAGTACTATAAGTGGCATACAACAATGTGTCTTTAAAGGGGCAATTATATATTTTCTTTTTTGCTTTTGGCCAATCAGTGAACCATATTCTGGCTGTGTTTTAACAAAATTTCTACTGAGATGTTAATGAGTGTTAACAAATTTATGATACACAGACTAACATTGTAAGGGAGGTTTCTCTTTTTAGATTTTACTCGAACTATTCTAAACTTTTTTTTTTTTTTTTTTTGAGTTGGAGTCTCACTCTGTCGGCCAGACTGGAGTGTAGTGGCCGCTTCCGGCCACCGCAGCCTCAACCTGCTGGGTTCTGGCGATCTTTCCGCCTCAACCTTCCAAGAACCTGGAACTACAGTCGCCGCGCTACCACGCCCGGCTAATTTTTTTGATTTATTGTAGAGATGAGGTCTTGTCAAGTTGCCCAGGCAGGTCTCGAACCCGCAGACCCAGGCAATCCACTCATCTCAGCCTCCCAAAGCGCAGGATTACAGGCTGAGCCACCGAGGCTGACTTATTCTAAACTTTAAATGTTCTATTTGAATGGCTTTTCACCTTGTGTTATTTAATTTTATTGTTTGGTTTACTTGCAGAGATTTTGCACAAAAACTGGCCAGTGCTCTAGCACATAATCCTAACTCAGGACTCCACACGATTAACCTTGCTGGCAACCCCCTGGAGGATAGAGGTACTGTGGTGTTCATGTTATCATTGCTGCCAGAATTGTAAAATGATTAGAGAATTTTAATTTAGACATGTCTAAAGGGTAGCATCAGGCTAAATTGTAATTATGTTATCAATGCTGTTGATGCTCTTTTTGGATTCTAGTTCTTTCTACCCTTTCATGAAATACTCATGTTAAAAAAATTTTTTTAACTGCTTAACCTTTTGTGAGGTGATATAAAGGAAAAAGGAGATATTATTTTAAAATATTTATGTTATTTGTTTCTGTACAACAAATTAGCACATACGTGACAGCTTAAAATGACACAAATGTATTATCTCACAGTGTCCTTGGGTCAGGAGTATGGGTGCACATTAGATGGGTTTTGTTCTCTGGGTATCTATCATAAGATTGAAATCCAGTTGTCAGCAGGGCTGTGATCTCATCTGTCACCTGTAGTCCTCCTCAAGTTCACTGGTTATTGGTGGAATTAATTTCCTTGGACCTATAGGACTGTGGCCCCCAATTTCTTGATAGTTGCTGGCAAGAACTACTGCCAACTTCTAGAAGCCATTTTCCTAGAAGGATTCTTTGCCACGTGACCTCTTTCTCTTACAGCATAGCAGTTTGCTTTGTGTTTGAGGCCAGCTGGAGTACATCTTTCTGATGCTTTAGTTTCTTTTAAATAGCTCAACTGACTGGGTCAAGTCTACCCTGGACAATTTCTCTTTTTTTTGAGTTGCAGTCTTACTCTGTTACCCAGACTGGAGTGCAGTTGCTGCTCCTGGCCACCGTAGCCTCGACCTGCTGGGCTCCTGTGATCCTTCTGCCTCAGCTTTCCAAGTAGCCGAAATTACAGGCATGTGCTACCACGCCCGGCTGATTTTTTGATTTATTGTAGAGATGAGGTCTCACTGCCCAGGTGGGTCTCGAACCCGCGGGCTCACGCAATCCACTCACCTCAGCCTCCCAAAGGCGCGGGATTACAGGCTGAGCCACCGAGCCTGGCTACAATTTCTCTTTTGATGAACTCAGAGTCACCCAATTAGTAACCTAATCACAGCAGTGAATATCCCATTATGGTTGATCTTTGAACAACTCAGAGTTGAGGGATGTCAACCCTCCAGGCAGTAAAAAAATCCACATGTAACTTTTGACTTCCAAAAACTTTACTAATAGTCTACAGTTGACTGGAACCATCAATTAATACATATTTTCTATGTTATATGTATTATATATTGTATTCTCACAATCAAACAAGCTAGAGAATAGAAAATGTTAGTAAGAAAATCTTAGGAAGAGAAAATATATTAACTATTCATTAGTTGGAAGTGGATCATCATAAAAATCTTTATCCTTGTCTTCATGTTGAGTAGGCTGAGGAGGAAAAAGGAGGGATTGGTCTTATTGTCTCATGACTGGCAGAGATGGAAGAAAATCCATGTATAAATGGATCCACACAGTTCAAACCCATGTTGTTCAAGAGTCAACTGTATATTCACTTTCTCCAAGGGAGGGAAATTAAGGGGGCATGTACGCCAGGGAGTGAGTCTCTTGGGGGCCATCTTAGAATTCTGTCTACCAGAAATATGTTTTAATATTTAACAAGATTGGAGTTTGAGAATAGGGAGAGGTTGAATAACAAGAGTTCATTATGAATCAGAAAGTGTTATTGAAAGTGTCTGTGTAGAGAGGGGATTCAGTAGGCTCAGAAAGGGGGACTTGAAAATTTGAATTCTTAGTAGTAGAACATTGAGGGTCAACGTTTAAGAAGGAATCGGTTTATGTCCAGTGGGATTATTTTCATTTTTGTTACAGATGTTTCCAGCTTTGTTGAATAAGGGCCTCGCATCTTTCAATGTTATATATTTGATGAGTATTAATTATTCAACTTATTTGAAGCCATTGATACAGATACTCAGTTTTTCTTTTTGTCTCTGATACTGACATTGTTCTATGTTGAAAAAGATACCCATGTGATATTCAAGCACAAATCTCAAGGTTAACTTCAGCATTCGAAGTAGTGAATCTAAAAAAAGGTTGAGACTGAATTAGAAAAGCACTCTCATAGAATATGCCAAAGCTGAAAATAATGGATGCATGGTACTAGAATAGGAGTTTCTCTGGAGTATGCTAATTTCTTAGGAAAAACAAATGTTTCTCTATTAGTCAGATGCTACGGAGAGGTGAATGTGACAAAGGAAAGCATGGAGATCATGTTTTATATTGGTTTTGTTTTTAGGATGAGAGGAACTCAATTATATTTGTCCATTGAAGAACAAAATCCATAGAGGGAGGTGGTTGTTGGAGACAGGTCACTGAGCAAATGAAATCCAGAGTTCAGGTGGACCAGGAAGAAGACACTCCTTAGTCATAAGGGAAATGCAAGTTAAAACCATAATGAGGTGCTGTTTCACAATCAGCAGTATGTCTGTAATTAAAGTAAGTGTTGGAGAAGATGCGAAGAAATGAAAACTAATGTATTGCTGGTAGGAGTATAAAATGACGCACTTTGGAAATCAGTCATACAGTTTCTTAAAAAAGTTAGACTCAAATATGCCATAGGGTTCAGCAGTTCCACCCCAGGTATATTTTCCAAGAGAAGTGAGACATATGTCTAAACAAAGACTTGTGAATCAATGTTTATAGCAATATTGCTTATAATAGCTCAAAAGTAGATATAACCCAGATGTCTGTCCATCACTGGTGGGTGGGTAAATAAAATGTGGTATATATTTACATTGGGATACTACTCAACAATGTAAGAATGAAATTCTGATACATGCTTCAACATGGATGAACCTCAAAACAGTATGTTAATTGAAAGAAGCTAAACCTAAAAGACCACATGTTGTTTGAGTTTGTGAGACTGGAAAGGGAAGCATCAATTTGAGACCCTTCATTTCCTCTCCTGTTATGCACCTCATGGTCTCTGAGGTGCAACCACAGTGGACAACTTGTCACCTCGGGTGTAGTTTCTTTTGTTTTTCCCTCGCCTTGGAGGCCCTATGTGAATTTCATTCTGCCTGCAGTTATAACTAGAGGTGAACATTTCTTCCCCTCTGCCTCTACTTCCTTCCTTCCTGTCATCCTCATTCTCTGGCCCTTCTTTCTCCACTTCCTTCTTGAGGCACAGCATCTAGTGTAAAACTGTGTACATAATTAAGAAATATTTTATTTAAATTGAGCGTGATTTAATTTAATTATTTTTAAAAGTTCGCTTGAAAATCATGGTAAAGTTTATAGAGATTCCTTTTGTATGGGGTAAAATATGTATTTGGAGATGATGTTTGCCTCCTTTTTCCCTCCATATTCCTACCTCCGAGACCTACTTTGTGTCTTTTCATCTTACTGCAGCCCATTCCCAGGTGCTGTTATTGTAAATAATTCCAAGGATGCTTTCTCTAGCTATATCAACTCTCTAGTGGGTTTCTGCTTTCATACCCTCAAATTCTGATATTCCTGAAAATATTTTAATAGGCCAGACTTTTCTCCTTTCTGCCCATTCTAGATTCATTCATTGCTGTATTTGTCAGAGTTCAGGGACAACTGCCAACACCAGTTTTTACCTTTATTCTTGGGGCTGAGCCTCCCAAACATAAGTTCTTTATTGTTTCTAATTATTGAGGCTAAATAGCTGAATATGATTGGTAGCATTTCTGTTCATGAATGGAAATTCCACAAGAAATTCAATTGAGTGTAAAATATTTATTGAAATTTCAATCTAGAGAAAAATGTTAGTAATTTTTGTTTCTGAGTTTTTCGGTGTTGGTATTTTATATTTGAAAACAATAAAAAAGACTAAGTAGAAATCTGTAATTAAATTGTACAATATAATGGGAGGCTGAGGCAAGAGGATTGCCTGAGCTTGGGTTTGAGACCAGTCTGGGCAACTTGGTGAGACCTCATCTCTACAATTAAAAAATAAGACGGGTGTGGAGGCATGTGCCTGTAGTTCCAGTTACTTGGAAGGCTGAGGTGGAAGGATTGCCTGAGCCGAGCAGGTCGAGGCTGTGGTGGCCGTGAGCATGCCACTGCACTCCAGCCTAGGCAACAGAGTGAGACTCCAACTCAAAAAAAAATTGTACAGTATATTAAAAAGACCAAGCCATGGAATATTATTTATTTGCAAGAAACCTCAGAGAAACACACAGTAGTAGGGTCTTAGCAGGTAAGCAGCCTAGAATTTGGAGGAATTAAGACATCAAAATGGACTGTGATTTTTGTACCTGAAACATCCACTTGGGACTTGTTTGGAAATTCTCAGACAACATTTGTTTTACAATAGGAATGTTGTTGCAGCAAATCCTGTTGTTTACAGCTCAGACTCCTTGTCACACCTGTGTATGGAGGACAGGCCTGCAACCTTCTGATTGTTAAGGGGCTTTTGGTGAATGAGGTTAAGGTATGACTCAGTAAGCAGAGGCACAGTGTGTAAAGATGCCCTGCCTCTCTGCAAGTTATGTAAGGCAGTGAACAGACCACACATATACATGAGCTATTCTTATCCTGGGTGCAAGGCCATGCCTGTTCACCAACTTGCTCTTGGCCTTCATGTGACCCAGTGTTTTTTCAGACTCTGGGTCAAGATCCCTTAGGAGGCTATAAAGTCAATCAGTGTAATGGTTTTTGACAAGCATATTTAAAAAAGAAATGGAACAGAATAGAAAATGTTAGAGTGCATTATTTAGGGGAAACTTTGGTTTTAGTTTTCTAATACTAATATATGTAGGTTCCTGCATCATGAGGTCAAATTTGTCTCTTTATGTGGGTGATGGTAGAAAAGGCTTAAAAATCTGTGTTCTAGCAGGGAATCTGAACTTTAACTAGTTCTGTGATGAGTCCTCTAGGTTGACTATGTATTTGAACCAGAGTATTTTTAGTCATCCTTATGTGACTAACTCTGGATCTGATATTACTTTTTGGAACAATTACCCTAGTTTTATGATCTCAGTCTTTTTTTTTTTTTTTTGAGGTGGAGTCTCACTCTGTCGCCCAGACTGGAGTGCAGTGGCCGCTCCCGG